CCCTACAATACAATCCTACCTTCCATCATATATACATATTATTATTGTTGGTAGAAATTGGAATCAAAAGTCAAAATGAAATTTGATAATCTCAAAACTAGTATCCAAATAAATAAGATTTTTATTTACGAGCAGTATATTTAAATACTGATTGTACAACAATTATCAAATGCAATTCGAGAATAATAATATGTAATACATAAATATGAACGAATTAATTAACACATGATGAATAATGGCTAAAAACACTTCTGCATACCCCCACCTCCCAACACCCAAGTTTGAATCTTATGGAAACATTTTGAAACAAAATTGCAAACAACTACAACGGAATTTGAGATGTACATGGGTAATCATAACCCAATGTATAAAATGAGCTTCTATGTACACTGAGAAGGGATTTAGATTGTCTCCGGCCACCCTGCCTCTCTAACAAACAAATCCATCTTTTATAACTAACTAAATGTTCATTTTATATTTTAATCTTTTAAAAAGCATTATATACAAGGGTGAATATTATTATTGTTGAGGAAATACTTAGTTAGAGGATTCATTTGCATTGGAAAGTAAGACTTAATGAAAATAATTCATCAAAACTCTTATATATTAAATATAAATTTTTATTGTATAAGAAAGCGTTAGATAGAGAGATCGACCGTCAATCCATTATTTGTTGCTTGTATTATATGAAACGGGTTTTTCTAATTAATTGTATTATGTATTTTTGGTCTTCTTTATGATTTATCATTGTTCTATTTGATGTTGTATATTTGTTATGCTTTTAATTTTGTGATTGAGCCAATATTTGTGTATTTTGGATTGTTCGTGAACTCTTGTAGAAACCTTAAGGGTGTATTTGAATGAGAAATTTTAGAAATTCAAAAAATTTAAAATTCTTAAAATTTGAATTATTTTTATTTCAATTTTCACCATTCTTTAAATGATTTGTTTGGGTAAGTCTATTGAGATTCATTAAATTTTAAACTCTTACTTTGGATATGATAATTTGATTTTTATCATAGGTAAATTTGATTTTAAATATATATATATATATATATATATATATATTGAGATTTTAAGATTAAATTTTATAATAATAAATATTATCTATTTTTTAAATATACTAATAGTTTAAAAAATTAATATTAGATAATATTTAATAATTTAAAAAATATTTTTAAATATTTAATAATCAAGAGATAAGAGAGAGATATAAAAGATATATAGGTGAGATAAGAAAGAAAAAATATGAAGAATTTTAACTTTTTTTAAGAATTTGAAATTCTACTATTTTAAAAAATTTCACAAACACTTGAATTTTAAGTTCTATGTAAATTTTTCATTCAAACAAAGCATTTCATCTAAAAGTATTTAAAATTCTTTAAAAAATGAATTACTCTATTTAGATTTCTAATCTAAATACACCATAAGAGAATACATTTAGGTATTATTGTGCAAGTAGCTAATAGAAATATGTATTTATGTGAAATCTTTGCCTTTTAAATGTGTAATATAATTATTTTTGAGTATTTTACCCATTAAGCATGTAAATTGATGGATTGGAGTACAAAATATGGAGATCGCAAATATATGCTACATACACAAGGGAGTAAATATTGTATACAAAAATAAATCCTACATTCAAGTACCTATACACACCCACAATAACATAGCAATAACCATTAATAAAAATCATCATTATCCTAATTCATAATTAACTACAGAAGCTATTCTACTAATTTTATCTATTCTTACAAGGAGTCATAATCGTCGTAATTCTATTATGACCCTCAACTTCTCACCATCATTTTTTATATATTTAAATTTAATTTATTTTTACTTTTAAAATTACTCAAAAGCTATTCTTACAATTCAACAACTTTTCACCTTTTAATTTTTAATTTACTTTTTAAGAAAATATATGGAGATACAAGTGTCTTTTTAACAAATTTTCACCTTTTAATTGTTAATCTTCATTTTGATTTACTTATAAAAAATTGAACGGTTGTAAGTTAAAAAATCATCGGGACTTTAACGAGTGCTGTAGGAAAAAGAAGGGCATATGTGTAATTTAATTATGCACGACGTGTGTCATCCAAAACCAATAAAAGAAGGTTATTATAGGCTTGGGTTTGTCCTCTACCGCCTCAGACTCTCATCAGACATCACAATCACGTCACTGCGAAGGTTTCTCTAATGCCAACGGTTACTCGGAGAACCGCGTTTCCCAAGGTTCTAATCGAGAGAGACTCCGACACCGAACAGAGTTCATCCGAAGAAGAAGAAACACTCGAAGAAGAAGATGGCGTTACCACTCCCAATACCGAGAAACTCCAACTGGGTTCCGACGCAAACACGAAATGGAAAACCCCCATCACCATTAGTCTCAAAAAAGTTTGCAAGGTTATTATTATTATTATTATTATTATTATTATTATTAATTTATAGTTGTTATTATTATGCGTTACAAAGTTGCTTCGTTTCGAATGGTTTTGTTCCAGGTGTGTAAGAAGCCTGGTCATGAAGCGGGGTTCAAGGGTGCCACATATATTGATTGCCCCATGAAGCCTTGCTTTCTCTGTAAATTGCCTGGTAAGTAATTGCTGTCACTCTTCATTTAGGATGCTTATCTTTGTGACAATATTTAATTGTTTTTTTCTTCTTAAATATGTTGTTAGATCATGAGGTAAAATTGTTTTTTATCTCCCAAATTTAAAACTGATGGAATTTAAAAAAGTGTATTTTAGCCTCATGTAGTGAATATGCAAAAGAAAAAAAAAAACTCATTTATTATTTAATATGTTGCACAAAATTTATCTGTAATGGTGAAAACATTATATTAAAGCCTGTTAATGTTGTACAACTGACTTAATTTGTCACATGTGGTGGTCTTAAGAGATTAAAATAATCTTTATTTTTCAAATTACAAAAATAAAAGGATCAAATTTAAATTTGAGAACCAAAATAAGTTTATATGGGGGATTAAAAACATATTTCAGTCTTAGTTTTTTAACATGTTAAGGATACTGACTTTATTGTGTTTTTGAATTGAAGGGCACACCACTTTGACTTGCCCACATCGTGCCACTACTGAGCATGGAGTTGTTCCAGCACCCCGCAGGAAAACGTATAAGGCATTGGAATATGTGTTTGAACGCCAGCTAAGACCAGCCCTTCCTTCTGTAAGCCTAATTTATTTGATTTTTCTTTATCAGTTTGCTTAATGTTGAGAATCAAGTTCGTTGTATGTGTTCCTTTTGCTGTTTTCTTTGTTACTATCATCAGGCAAAACCTTACTTGACTTGTGAAGGTAATACCCACCATATGTGGGTTTGGCATGTTGGCCTAAAGAAATAGTTGGCCAGTGTTGTCAACTTTTAATTAAAACATTGGGACTATGCCAAAGCAACCTTGGTCTGCTGAGTTTAATGTGATTAATGATTATCCTTTTAGTTGTTTTTAACATTTTTCTGGAATTTATTACTGTATTGCTCCTTAACATGCTTGCCTCAATCTATTTTTGCTGCGAGAGAGGGAGTTTATTCTTTTAGTCTTACCTGCCTAGTGATGTACAATTTATGTAATGAACTATATGTGCTTAAGTTGCAACAGTTGATAATATTGTCTGGAAATACAAAGTTTAAGGCATATGTGACTCTATAATGTTTATGTTTCTTCCAGGTTATTTATCACTCAGCCTAGTATTTTGGGGTTCTAATAGTGATAATTTTTTTTTTTTTTTTTCACTTCTATGCTAGATCAAGCCCAAATATGTGATCCCAGACCAAGTGAACTGTGCTGTCATCAGATATCACAGTAGACGAGTAACATGCTTGGAGTTCCACCCTACAAAGAATAACATCCTGTTATCTGGAGACAAGGTTATTAGTTATTACTGGAAATTACATTAGTTTAGGTTAATTTTATGGTTGCCTACTTGCCTTTGTTTTTAACCACTGATTTCTTTTTCTTGCTTTCATCCTAAAAGAAAGGGCAACTTGGAGTATGGGATTTTGGAAGAGTATACGAGAAGGTAGTCTATGGGAACATACATTCTTGTATACTGAACAATATGAGGTAAGCCGTTTTCATGAAACCATGGTCTTGTAATTGTCCCATTGCCTTCCTTCATCTTTGGATTTAAGCTTTTTGTCTTAATGGAAAACTTTGTAGGTTTAATCCCACAAATGATTGTATGGTCTATTCCGCATCCTCGGATGGAACCATAAGTTGTACTGACTTGGAGACCGGAATATCATCCTCTCTAATGAACCTGAATCCTGCTGGATGGCAGGTAACATTTTTCTCTTATTTCGTGACCTCTTTTTAACTGTTTGACTACTTGGATAGCCCAAAGGTAATTCTGGTGCACTTTTTTGTGAATTGTAACATCTTTATATTTGGACTCTTTACCTATTATGAAGTTCCTTTTTGCCCTTCCCCCCTTCCAGTTGTGTTATGCTGTAAGATTGTTATTGCCTTGATTTAGTTGGTTTTTTTTTTTTTTTTTGGAGGGATACTAGGTAGGTTCAGCTATGTTACTGTCTATGAGAAAGAAGTGAGAGAGAGCCAATTCAACCTGGTTGGATTTTCGGCTTTTAATTGGAAAGATCTGTAGTGGCATTATATTTTGGCTTAGCTTTTTCTATGAAAGTGTCTTTGACTTTTTGCAGTAATTTTTTATTTTATATGTCTTTTTATTAGGGTCCAAACACTTGGAAAATGCTATATGGCATGGATGTCAACTGTGAGAAAGGTCTTGTTCTTGTTGCTGATAACTTTGGTTTTCTTCACATGTAAGTAACCTCTTCGGGTTCCTCCCCTTGAAATTATTTAATTTTAATGCAAAGAATTAAAGAAATAATGAAGAATACAAGTTGCTCATGATAATGTTATGAATGATTGCATCACTCTTTGAAAGCTTACCCAGTTTTTAATTTTTTATGTTTCACTGTTAATTCGTTACATTTCATTGTTGTTCTTAGCTTGCATTTCTCTGCTTGTATTTAGTGTTTTTCTGTAAAAGGGTAATTTATTACTTAAATGCTCCATCTCCATGTCATGATATGATATCATCTTATTACTATCTTTTCTAGGTGTGCACATAGTCATCAATTTAAATTTATGCTCACCATTTTTGGCTAGCTATAATTTTGAACTATTTTCTGATTTTCTTTCCATTGCATGGCCATTTGTGAAGGTTAGCAGTTAAAATGTGGTTGACGCATGTAGGAGCTTGTTTAGGAGAGCACCATGTTTAATATCTAATTATTTTAATGAGTACATTAATAATTTTAAGGTGTTAGAGAAGTTGATATTTGCAGACAGCAAGACCTGACTTTGTTCATTATAAGTGGTTTAAAATATATTTAATGGGGGACGTAAACATGAGAATTTTATAATTGTTTTTTTCTTGGTTAGGGAATGAAAGTTGTAGCCCTATAATGTAGCTATGCTTTTCATTTATGAAACTAATTAACCAAGAAATTTGTGTAACATCCTGTGGCAGGGTTGATATGCGTTCCAACCACAGCATTAGTGATGCAATTTTGATCCACAAAAAAGGAACCAAAGTTGTTGGTATCCATTGCAATCCAATTCAACCGGACATCCTTTTGACTTGTGGAAATGATCATTTCGTGAGTTTTCCCTTTTATTCATATATTGAATATATTCAGTTGATATTTGAACTTACATTGCATACTGGATATTCTAACCATTGAAATGTGTAATGGTTTCTATCTCTTAGGCTCGTATTTGGGATATGCGACGAATAGAACCTGGATCATCCCTTTATAACCTTGAGCATAAGCGTGTTGTTAACTCTGCTTATTTCTCTCCGTTAACTGGAACCAAAATTCTCACCACATCACTGGACAACCGTCTGCGTATATGGGATTCTATCTTTGGTAATATGGACTCTCCCAGCCGAGAAATTGTGCATAGTCATGATTTCAATCGATATTTGACACCCTTTAAAGCTGAATGGGATCCAAAGGTTATTTATTTCTTTATTTTTCTAAAATTTCTTCCAGTTATTTATGATGTTTCCTATTGTTCTTCTGCCATAACAATATTATTTATGTAATTGCAGGATCCATCAGAGTCCCTTGCTGTTGTTGGTCGTTATATAAGTGAAAATTATAATGGAGCTGCTCTACATCCCATTGATTTTATAGATATAAGTACAGGGCAATTGGTTGCTGAAGTGATGGACCCTAACATCACAACCATCAGTTCCGTCAATAAGCTGCATCCACGCGATGATATCCTGGCAACTGGGAGTTCTAGGTCTGACTTATCTTTTTAATTCTAAATTAGTGGATAATGAAACTTTTGATTTTTCTTCATTTTAGGTGCAACAAAAGACCTAATGTTGAATTCTTTTGGCTGATCAAATTTTTTCACTTCTATAGATGAAATTTAGACTTTTTAGCCTTTTGTGATGATGGAACTTTCAAAGTAGAAATTAAAATTTACAAGTTCTCTTTAACTAGCTCCTTAAGAACCATTATTTTTTTCCTCCAAAGAGTATTGTTATATACAAGTTCTCTTTAACTATCAAATTTATGCTTTGACAATCTTATTAATTTGTTAAATTCAGTACTTGACTTCAAATAATAGATGTAAAAAGCTATGATACCTAGGTGTGGTATGTCTGATTGGTTACTTGGTTCTTGGACTCACGTGGCATAACTTTTCAGATCTCTGTTCATTTGGAAGCCCAAGGAGAAGTCGGAGCTTGTTGAGGAGAAGGATGAAAGGAAAATTGTGGTCTGTGGAAAAGCCGAGAAGAAACGCGGTAAGAATGGTAATGACAGTGATGAATCTGATGATGAAGGTTTCATGTCCAAGCCCAAGAAATCCAAGTCCAAGAAGTCCAAGTCCAAGACTGAGTGGAAACTGTCTCGCTGCACTACCAAGGATAATTGCTGAATAATGAAGCCAGTCCTTGCAGAGTATATTGAGGATTTTCCTTTTTTGAAGGTTTTCCAATCTAATTGCAAATCCTGTATGGTGGCCAAGCTCCCCCTCCATGTTTTGTCTTTTTTGAAAGTAGGATGGGTGCTGTTATCACATTCTTGGCTTGCTCCCCTGGATGTAAGATTTGGTGTTTTTTGTCTTGAAGTAGTCATTTTGTATCTCAAATACAAGCCTTCTTATGCCACCATTCTACCCTTTGTAATTTGTAGTGCTAGTGTATTATATTAGAAGATAATGCACCATAGCATTTTAGGATATAGTAAAAGGTTTGTTGGAATGTTCCTTTTTGTTGATATTCCGAAAGGTATAGTCTCTTCAAGCTTTGCATTAGCATCCTATTTTCATGCTTTTGTGATTCTATGAATGCGTTAGTGCAAAAGAGCCAGATAGTTTCGAAGTTAAAGCTTTATATTTTTGTTACCTTAATATTACATTCTTTTCCCCCAACCTTCTACAGCCATCCTTGATTAATGTGGCTGGATAGGTAGATCAAGATGTGTCAAAAATGGTTTGACCCAATGGGTTGGATTTCATAAAAAGTCCAAAAATTGTTCCGGGCCAATTTGGTATGGCTTTGCGGGCCAACTGTGTCAAACAGGTCAAAATTTATTGGGTTTATTTGACTTTATATATAATTTTTTAAATATTTTTCTTTGTAAAATTATAATTAAAAAATGGGCTAATTTGATCGGCCCGACTGATTAGCAGTTAGATCAAATCACAAAATAAGTATTTTGGGTCAGGTTAGGCCATTTCACTTAGGCTCATGATATATACACCTCCTTTTTTATATAAGTACACCTCTTTTTTTTTTTTTTATAAAAAAATTATAAAATATTATAAATTTTTAAAAAAATTTAATTTTACACTTTCAACTTTCAATTTCCTACTTTCTTCTTCTTATTCACACACATTTTTTTTCTTTCAATTTTCACATGCTATCAAAATAGGTAGAGTGAAGGAAAAATAAGGAGGTGCATGTAAAAATTGAAAAAAGGAGGAAAGATATATGAAAAAAAAAATACTAAATTAAATGTTGTGGATGTAAAATTAAAAAATTTTAAACAAAAAATTTAGAATATTTTAAAATTTTAATTTTTTTTAAAAGGAGATGTACTTATAGAAAAAATGAGGTATATATATCATGAACCTTTCACTTATAATTGGTTGCATGCGTGGCCGACTCAGATCCATTTAATATTTTTGGCTAGATCTGTTCTTTGGTTATTGGAAAATACACTTGGTTAATGTGTGCGTAACCAAAGTACATATAAAATCTATAATATAAAGAAATAGTGACCCTTATTTGAAAAAAATGATTAAATTATCGGATTAGATATTTTTTTTATAGGAAATTTAATCTGTATTTATACTTATTTGGCATAAAAGTCACCTGTCTCATAATTTAGTATTCTTTCTTGGTAAGGAAAAAAAACAGTAAAACATATAATTGTTTTGTAGCGCATTTTAATATATCAATAATGCTTTCATTTTCATTTTTTATTTATTTATTAGTATAGGAAATGGACAAAGAAAATTAGAATGCTCGACACTATATTATGTATTAGAAAATAGTAGCATTAGAAATCATTTTTATTAGGGGTGGGAACTGATTTGATACGATTGAATTCAAAATATATTTTGATCTCATTTAATAAATTTTAATTGAATTATAATGGTTTGATCTTTTTTGTTTTTGGGTCTCCCATCAGATTTGGATTGGTTTATTGAATTTATCCTTAAAATTAAAAAAATAATATCATATTAAACACTTGGTAAAATATATTTTATATCCGGATAAAACATTCAATAATATAATCTTGTTCATTAACATTATGAAGTAATACAAAGTAATTTTTAAGGATAAATATTATGTCACTACAAAGTAATTTTTTTTAGTGAACATAAGTGTTTTAAAACTCAATCAATTTTCACAATTAATATTAGATATTGAAAATGGAAAAATATTTAAACTAAATGACAATTATGTTTCCATTGATATTTCACAATAGTTTTTAATAACATATTTTGATAATTTCAAAATTACCATTGTTCAGAACACGTGACCTAACTTAATTCAGCAAAACAAAATATAAGTTTGTTTTTTATAATCTAAAGATATTTTGGCATCCACTATTGAGACCGTTGATCAATTAGTCACTATATTCTATCTTTTGATCTATGTATTTTATTAAATATGTTAATTTAAACTTCACCTCATCCAACCAAATTAATAGGATGTCAAAGTTTTGTTGATCAACTTGTCATCTATTTATCACTTATATTGACTTAAATTATTTTAGATGATGAAAGAGAATGCAAAAGTTCATATTCAACTAACAAGTAAAAAACATAGACAACCAAATTAATATTTGAAGTCCTTTCAAGTGAATTTTTAACACTTTGAGAATATTTGATCTTCCTAATTATAAAATAAAACTAAAAGCGTGGTTCAATAATGTTAAAAAATTTAGATCAATCTAAAGGGTTATGAAAATAATATAAGGTTGATAGTCACAAGACTAAAAGATAATGTTTAGTGGGATTGCCTCTAAATTAAATATAAAATAAATATGCGTAATAAAAAGGAAAGAAAAAAAATACTTATGAGAAAAACTTTAAATATTAGGATAATTTTTTTTTCAACATCATATTTTCAAAAGCATATTGAGAGTTTTTCTTTCACGCTGATATAAAATAGTTACACATAGAAAATGAAGAAAAGAAAGGTCAATTAGTTTTTTTTTTTTTGTTTCTTTTTATTTTATTATTTTAAAATTTATTTGTTATTTTAGTATGCGAACCTTATTTACATGTGCTACTTATATGTTAAAACTCCATTTGTTACTATGATTGCAATCTACCTTCTATATAAATTATCATGTCCATCAAAAATATAAATTAGAGATGAAATAATTATAGAAAGTATAATGGTGTCAAAAAAAGTTAAGACAAACAAAAAAATATACAATCTGTATACCTTTATATATAGTAGAGCATAAAAGAGGAAAAGATGCACACTCTATTTTTGAATATTTATTTAGAAAATAAAAACAAAAGTTATTAAAAAGATAATGATGATACTTTTATTTAGTGAAAGAAAATAATTATTCAATAGTAATCTATTATTCTAAAAGATAATGTGCAATCAATAAAATAGTCTTTGGTTATAATGACAAAAAGATTAAAAATAATTTTTTTAGAAAATATAGATAAATAAATTGAGTTTTAAGAAAAGTGAAAATCAAAAACTTACATAGCATTTATATACGGTATATATTATTATGATAATATATTTACATTAGTTTTATATTTTTTTATTCTCCACTTATTATTATTTTTTTTTTGTAAACAAAACAAATTTTTCATAACAAATATTATGAATTTAACAATAAAAATTGTAATACTTGTAAAACAAAAATATCTTAAAAATACATATTTTATAAGTTATACTAAGGGAAACACTAGATGAGGCCTAAATAGTGCTACTTAAAAGCTCCTACTTTTCCACATAGTAGTGTAGTAACCGTGATAGATATAAAAGATCAAATAAAGTAAAGAATGAATTCAGGGATTTATACTGGTTCATCTACTATGTTTAGTTCTTGATCCAACTAGATCAATTTCTACTATCTTGTAAAAAATACAAATATTCTTTACCAAGTTACTTTTGACTCAATCTTAAGTATTTTTTGAATTGTCTCTTCAAGCAATCTATCCAAGTATTTTTTTTCACACAAAGCCTCTTCAGGCTTCAACATCGAGTGCTCTTTTACAGTCAAGTCTCTCTGTTAAGTCTCAATTTTACCTCTTTTTGGATGAGACTTATTGAACAAATTCCACTCATCCTTTGAACCATTGCAATATAATTATTCTCTTTTTGGTTCATTTTGCGTGCAGATATAGCTAACCCATATTTAGCTAACAATACCTTAATACACCTCATTTTTTGTGCAGGTATTGAGCTAGAGATTTGAGGATTGAAGATCTTTGGGATTGGAAACTTAAGGAGCTTAGGAGCAGAGTAGAGTGGCTGCGCCGGGCGCAAGATGACCCCGCGCCGGGCTTGAGAAGAACAGAGTATTGCACCTCTGGAAGTCACACATGCGCCGGGCGCGAGACTCCCCCACGTCGGGCGTGATCGAGGCAGAGAGTACCTCAAAACTCTCTGGAATGTATTGCGCCGGGCTTAATAGAGAATTGCGTCGGGCTTGCTCTAGAAGACACCGCGCCGGGCGTAAAAGGAAATTGTGCCAGGCTTATATTGAGGCAGAGAGTGCTCAGAAGACTCTGCGCCGGGCAAGAAGACTTATGTGCCGGGCACGAAACCCTAATCTGATCTCCCAAGCTCGTATTTGAAGCCATTTTCGAGGGTTTCTCCCTCATTCACACATTGGACGAGTTTTAGGAGCTGTGGAAGGGATTCCCAGAGCTTGGAGCTGTTCGTGTGTGGGTTTTTCCTTCGGTTTCTTCATTTCTCCCTTCATCTCTATTTTGTATTACCCTCATTTTAAGTGGTTCTACCCAATTTTTGTGGGGTTAGATGTAACCAACGAATTCTAGTGTAATCCTCACGTTTTCAATGATATATATATATATGTTGTTCATTCATTGTTGTGTTGTTTCTATTCTTAATGCTTGCCTTGGATTGATTCTCCTTGCATGATATAGGTTCCATGGGTATTGGAAAATAACCTTTGAAACTAGCTCTGAAACAAATGCCTAGTGGGAAATGTATCTAGGAATGGAGCTTGGCCCATTAGTAGTCTTAAACCCTAGCCCGTAATGCGGGTGTAGATATTGGATACTCAAGGGATTGATATTCAATATCCACACCTAGGCTCTTGCTCTAAGGGATTAGGTTTGAGTAAACTATTGGGTTGACTAAGCAATGAATTTAACAAGAGATTAAGGATTCATTAGTTTAACGTTTGGTGAAATCTGACCCCACAACCTCACAATACCACAAAATCATTTCTAACCTTTTCCACTCACAACCAAATATTTTTATAATTTTCATTCCAGTAGTCATGATCTTTAATTCACATTCACATGACAAACTACAAATTGGAATCATTCTTTAGTCACGAATAGTCAATAAATGCTTGTTACCTTCTAATCCCTGTGGATACGATATTTTTACTACTTGAACGGCCGGTATACTTGCCGTGTTTGAGACTGTTAATAGAATCTAACTGATTTATAGATTAAAACAAAAGTGTTTAAACGGAAATCTCAACACTCTCAAGGCTCAAATAATAAATATTCTCTTACAAACAAGTTTCTTCAGGTTCAAATCCAATAACTCAGAGTTGCTAACGTTTACAAAGTTGTTTCGCCTTCCTATCAAGACATGATACAACA